ACAGCTGCTTTCTGGGCCAGTGACAGCCTAGTACAGTGACACATCAAAACCAGATCTCAGCGGCCAAATCCGATGCTTCCCACGAGGTCTGCATGTCCCGAAAACAGACAGCGCTACAGCTTGTACCATCCAAATGTCTGACTAGCCAGCTAGGAAGGGGCTGGGAGAAAAGGGTCCCGGTCATTATAGCCAAAAATGCCTTAAAAAGAAGTTGCTCTCAGTACTGATATTTCTGAGCTCCTCCCAAATGGTCTCCTGATTTCAAGGAAAATTCTAGGCAACAAAACTTCGGGACAAAAGAAGTGGTATTCTTGGAGTTTATGCTAACATGGGAACCACAGATATTCATGGTACACCAACTAGATTTATGAGCATCATGGTAAATCCATCCTCCTGAGAGGCACAACAACGTTTTTGGGCCAATGAGCCACTAAAGTGAATTCGACCTTCAAGGAATGCTTTTGTAAATCAAACCTGGAATCGCTCATTCTGATTCACTTTGCATCTAAGAATGGAACAGCAAACGAAGGGAACCAACATATACTGAACAAGCCACACTTGCCATATATGGCAAGGATGATACTAGATGCTTGCTACACAGATAGGGTTTAAAATTCTTTCCTGATACCCAGGGAAGTCGGGGTACTCAAGGGGCTTGTGGGACAGGTTTCACGGGAGGGGAGATAGAATGTATCAGTATAAAGGGTTAGAAGGGAGTAATGGAACGGGAAGGGTTAAACTGGGGTAGGGAGAACAGTGAACAGGGTAGAGGAGAAAGTACAGAGATGGATAAATAACACTAAAAACCTTTCCAAAACGTCACAGAGAAAGCTACTGCAGTGGACGCTTCCTATTATAAATACACAAACATTGAGAGAGAAGATGGAGTTACCCATAGCAGGGACACAATGCCTCCACTAGGCACCACAGGCTATCAAACAGAAAGCCCAGCACCAGGAATGGGTTATTTCTTTGGAGTCATTGGCCATAGAAGTCTCATAGACCCCCAAACGTTACATGCTATTTCTTATGCTCTTGGCTATCCCACCCCAGATGACCATAAGATTCTATTTCTGAAGACGCCATCAGCTTGAGTCACAGAAGACAGCGAAATCAAACCAAACGGCTACTGGTCTGGAAACTTCGTCTCTGCTTGCCAGTTCTCATAGTTCTGAAAAGCATTAGGCAGGCTACTAGAGGAGAAAACAGTTATACTCCACTGTGAACCCCGTAAGCTGCAATAACAACTGGCCTGGCAAGATAGACACACTGGTGTAATAATGGCACCAATATCACGGGAGTAACCAAGCCCCCCCTTTTTTGTTGGATTTTATTCTCCCTCCCCAAGATGAAACCTATACCTGGTGCCACTATTCAGCCAGGAGCCTGTGGCCAGGTAAGTGAAAGCCCTAGAGTACTTCCTACTATGATTTTGCTAAATGGATAGAATACTAAACCAATCCTTAATGACTCACTGTTATACATATAGATCAATGCATCTCTCAGTCCTCACTGGAAAAGCTTCAATTTGCAATAGAAGGCAATTAACACCGAGACCCGCAGCTGGCCATGGCGCAGAGCGTAAGAGATGGAAGAATGCTTGGCCCTGAAGGAAACATATGTCTTTCAGTGGAAGACCACACTCCCAAGAATATTGAGCAGCACAAATTGGTCTCTAAGGATTAAAAAAGCAAGGACGCAAAGTTGGGTAGGGAACGAAGAGGGGTCAGAACGGAGAAAAAGGGGGGGGGGTAAATATGATCAAATTTTACTGTGTGAAACTCTCCAAGAACTAATTAAAAATAACAGAGCACAGTCTTTCCTGTCTGGGTCTCTGTATCATGTCATGACACTATGGAGCTTTTTAAAGACAGTAGCGGTATCACTAAAGGAAATTTAAAACCAAACAAATTAAAAAAAAAAAACAAAGCCTGAAAAGTACACATGGGGCAGCAACACTTTAGGGAAAGAAATCCCTAACTTCTCTATGTTCACAGCCCATTGCTTCCCGGCACAGACCCGGTCGTCCATCATGGAACCAAATTGAGATTTCCACCTTCCTTATTGAGGTGAGTCATTTGAAAGCCATTTCACTGTGTCCAGCCCAGAAGAGCTGATGGGCAAGGACCATCTGATTATCTGTGTGAGGTTACCTAAATTGTATTTTCTCCACACTCTCAAACCCTCCTGCCCCGTAATTGCAAAACCAAGGCAGCAAAATGAGCTTATAAAAAACATGCCGGTATTTGCTCTCTCGAGACCTATATAGCAGGCTTCTTCGTATGGAGACGTCAGTGAGCTAGAGTCGGTGTAGGGACTCTCTTTCTAAGTGTCCAGATAGCAACAGAACACTGACACCTGTATTTGGGTCACAGTGAGCTCAGCACACCAGAGGGCAAATGGTTATACTCAAAGCAGCCATCCTGAGGCAGCTGTGCTCAGTGCTGGGGAGCAAGCTCTCCAAGATTCTGAAACCTGGAAGGTGAGAAGGGCTGCAATTACTGCGAAGTTCCAGCAGTAATTCTATAGAGAAACTGACTCGGTACAGTTTCCGGAAGGGAATCAGGTTCTTAGGGACCATTCCTTTTGAAAATGTATGACTGTGCTCAAGCAAGACAGAGCTCTGTTAAGAAAAAAAAAAAAGAAAACAAAACAAAAACAAACAGACCATCTACTCTAATTAGTTATCAAATGCCAAAAGAAATGATGATGATTGAATGGAGTAAATTAAAAATGTGGGGAGTGAAAGGACAATAAGAGAATCGACACGTGTGGAAATATTTACAACTATAACCAATGTCTTCATGATAAAATTAATCTATACTCAGAATTTCCAATTTGAGAAGAACACAGAATTAAGAATAAAATTATGGATATGAAAAACACCAAGTAAGAAATGTCAGTCTGAATTACTGACGTGTGTATGAGCAGAGAGGTGACATGACAATCATCTAATTAGGGAGGTAAAAACTCTACCTGCTCTACTGTGGTGAACAGATTATCACTGGCTGAGTGCACTCTGTGGCTTGCATTTAAAAAGTTATTTCCCACGTGTACAAAGCCAGCTGCATTCTGAACCTGACTAAAATCAGAACACAAACTCTGAGATCCAACATCATTGGCAAATGTGGCCAACACAATTTTCAACCAAGGATGTGTCGAAGTAAAGAAGGTCCACCGTAGCATACAAAGAATCCCAAGGCATAGTTCCTCAAAAAACTTTTTACTGTTGATGTGCCCAGGGTATTTCTAGGGTGTCAGATCACTTCCCTGCTTCTTAAAAATATGGCTTTTATTGAGAACTGCCCAGTACTCTGATTGAAACAGACCACAAAGTGCTAAGCAAATCACTCTAACATGCTTGAAGAGAGGCCGAGCAACATCCTTTTTGTTATTAAGGTAGAGCACAAAGCATAAATAAAGTGTCCTTGTCCAATGCCTTGAAGGGCATGTCCTCAGCTGTTACAAGCAAATGCATGCTTGCTATATATTGTGCAAAACAACTTTATAAACCACAGTTTTCAACGAGCACACACAGAAATAAATGTTAGAAGATTTATATAGTGTAAATGTGTCCTGGACCAGAGAGATATCTCAACAAGTTAAGGTATTTGTGACAAAAACCCGGTAACCAGAATGATTCCCTGAACCCAAATACAGGTGAAAAAAGAAACAAAGTCCACAAAGATTTCCTCTGACTGACACACACAGTTTGGCCTGTGTACCCACTGACACATATCAGTACATGATAAAAATGATTAAAACATTTCTCTTTGCATGGGTTAATGTATACTCTGCCTACTGTCTAGGTATTGCTAATGACTTTTTTTTTCACTCTGCTTTTACTCTGTGGTAACTATGAAAACAATGATCATCAACCTAGTCTACAAAGGAATAATGCAAATTTAACTAAGATAGTATCATTTTTCATCTCTTTATGATTAAATCTCCTACCACAACTCAAGCATTTATCTTATATGTGTGAAAAATTTCCCATATGCAAACATGAAAAGTTTCTGTTATGAACTTGGGTTTTCTGTTTAAAACCACATCTGAAGACGGCATTTTTATATTTAGGATATAAATCAGAATGCTGCATAATTATGAAACTACATAAAAATTCATTGATGCTATTCCTCCATTGTTTTTCTTTCAAAGTTATATTTTTTTTCTTTTAAGCTTTTTACAAATATCCTTCCTAGTTAAGCAACATCCCCTCAAGTTCTGCTGTGAAAGTAGTCTGGGTCATGTTTATTACGGTGTGCAAGATGGGCTGCTGCGGCACAGTGGCGGGTGCCAGGGCTGCCGGTGACTTCCTCTATAGATGCTTCTGATCCATTGCAAAGAAGATCACTAGGATCAAAAAAATAGGCATAGGTCTGGGTGTCACTCGGTCTCAGGGTGCTCGCCTAGTAACATGAGAGACACCGGGTTCCGTCCCAGCACCATGAAATAGGACGGACTTAAAAAGAGGACACATGGTTATGGCCATTGTAGTGGAAGCCAGACTACTGTTAAGCCCAAGCTGCTGCTGGAGGGCACAGCAAACTTTCTCCCCTAAACATCTTTAAAGAGATGGCTCTTGTTCTTCCACCATATGCTATTATCAAAAACAAAACCCTGTCACTTGCTAAGAACCTGCCTATAAAAGTTAAGTTGCTCACAAAATCACTGGGTTCATTTTCCTAAAATCGAGTCAATGCTGAGCCTGCCTTGGGATGCCTGTATCTACATTGTCCTTTTTAACTCCATAGTCGCGTGGAAACTTGGTAGACTTATGAACAACATGCCCCCCAAATTTAAATTTTCTGCTGCCATTTTCATTGGCTTTCACAAAACTGTAGGATGCAATCTGTTACCACGATAGCCCAAAGATCAGTATAGGAAAAAACAAACCAAAACAAACACACACGAAAACAAAAGCAAGCTGCCAACTGCCAAGACATCTGCCTTCAGAATGAGAGCTAAGAAAGCCGTTAGTAAAGGCTACTTCCACTGACCTTCGCTTGGGCTTCTGGTGCCGTCACCTTGACAACTTTATTGCGACTTATCATTTGCTTCACCCATCCTTCCACTTGGACGTTGAACTTCATGAAAACCACATAGCCGAAATAAGCTGTTAAGAGCAGCAAGCTCTCCCACCACATGATGACGTTGTCCAGGAAAAATATGATCAACATGATCAAGTCGACGATGTAGAAGGACACATCCCGAAAGAGCGGCCACCATGTCAGGTTTAAGATTTCTCTAGAAAACAGAGCACACATGCCAATAACAAAGAGGATATTGAACACGGCGGAACCTACAATGGTGCCTATGCCAACATTGCTGTGAGCAATGAAGACCCCTATAAGAGACGTGAAGAGTTCTGGGGCTGACCCGCCTGCAGCCATGAAGGTGGCTCCGGCCACATCATCAGAGATGCCCAGTTTCTCAGTGATGACAGTCAAGGAAGGGACGAAGAACTCATCACAGACAATGGCTAAGGCTATGAACATGTAGATCATGCCGATGACATGGAGGATGATGGCGCCTTTCCTGCGCTCCTCTAGGGAGAAGATGTCCCTTGGGTAGTCTCCCTGGGCATGGTCGGTGCTGTTCTCGGCTTTGTCTTCCTGAGAAGCGGGTGGCTGTGTGGCATCATCTAGAAACTTGTCATTAAAATCTAAGAGAGTTCTTTGATGGTGGCCCTGGGCTACCCTAGGGCCACTCACGTCACTGGCTTCTCCTGTGTGGCTCTGAGTGTCTGTCTCAGTAAAGGCACTGATTGAAAAGGGGACAGTGCTCATAGCGACCAGGCCCATGACAAGGCCAATGACCCGAATTAGCTTCAGTTTTTTTCTGGCATGATAATGTCTCCGGCAGCCAGATGGTGGCTCATTGGAGCTCCATTTCTCCAGCAATCTGACTGTGGTACTTTGGTGCAGATCCGTCATCCTGGGTCTTCTGGTGGATATGGTGGTCTTCACACTTCAGACTTGGCTAGATGGTTCTTTCATACTGTTCCTGGCTTCCTGGTTAATTGTGCTTGTGGGACGCGTTTACAATCAGGTATCCTTCCTCTTCACAGAAAGATTTCACCAGCTATGCTTAAATAAGAACAACAACCAAGGTAAGTAGGTCACCAAAATCTTATGTTTCTATAAAAATAACTGCAAATACAATAAAGTCTTGTCCTATAGTATGTGTTCACGGGTAAGTTACTTAACTTATCTGTGCCTCAATTTCTTTATTTTATTTTCTAAAGGTTTCTTTTAATTTTAGTGATGTGTGTCTGTGTGTGAGTATGTGCACATGTGAGTGCAGGGGGCCCCAGGAGTCCAGAAGAGGCCCTAGGATCTCCTGGAATTGGAGGTACAAGCAGTTGTGATTTATCCAACATCGGTGTTGGGAACCAAACTCAGGTTCTTTGCAAAAGTAGTATGTGCCCTTAGCTTCTAAGCCATCTCTCTAGCTCTGGGTTTCCTTATTTTAAAACTGGGGAGCAGAACTAGGGTGAAGAATTTACTTAGCATATGTGGGATGTGGGTTTGATCCCTAGCTACACACACACACACACACACACACACACATGCATGCACCAATATAATGGGATAGTTATAGACAATTAAACCCTTGCCAACCAGAATTGCTTTTATTGCTCATATGTGTATATGTACGTGTGCGTGCATGTGTTGTGGGGAGGATACTGAGGATTGCATTCAGAGCCTCAGACACTCCAGATAATAGCGCTACCACTGAACTATGACCTCACAAATTGCTTTAGGATAATGAGAACAAAAACAGCACTTGGAAGAAGAAGTGGTATCTAGAATGGACTCATAACCACACATGTATAAACCAAGTAAATATTTCAACACATCTGACGCCAGGGTGAGACAGCTGAGATGTGTGTAAGTATAAAACATTTATAGGTGAAAGTCAAGTCATCCATTTGAAGCCATGCAACATCGCTCGGTGTTAAAATGGCCCCACTTCTTTCAGAACTAAGTTCTTGACGACTGACCATTATCCATTATGTTTTCTTCTAGAACAATTATGTAATTCGGTGCATTTTCTGATTGAACCTATCATTTGGAAAGGGTGGTTTGGGGGAGGAGGTAACGCTGCTTTTCTTTTCACATAATAATCCCAGGATACTATTTTTCATGATTGTGTCTCATACAGATACAGAAAACCTGCTCTTTAAATATTTAAGTTTATGAAAGAAAAAGAAAGAAAGGAAAGAAAAAGCAAGAAATGTCCTGTCGACATGAACAAGCTGTTTTCTTAAAGCATATAAACACTGCTTTCAGTTGGAGCTTCGGAACAGCAACAACCAGAACCCTTTAGTCGTATTCTCCATAGCTTAAATAAAGCTCAGCGCAGGGACATGACCGGGAGGCTATCTTGAGAGACCAAGTATGTATTTCGTAAACAACATGCAAGTTGCAGCAACACCTCTGTCCATAAAACCCTCCCCCAGTAGCCCCAACACCTATCCTTTATGCCAGATACGCAGAGCAGAATTTTGATTCGTTAGTCTACGGAAGAGGTGGGTAGAGTACCCCACACGCCTGCTCCTACAGTCAAGATTCTCTTTCTAAACAAGCCTCTCAATGTCCTGTTTTGTATTCTTTTTTGGTGCCAATAATTTTATTTTCGGAGCATTCGCCGAGATCACTTCAGGTGTAAAATAAGCTAATTAAATACACGCCACTTATACAGTGGGATTAGCTGGAGCAGAGCAAGCCCAGCAGTCAACGCAGGTTGAGTTGCCACTGCTCCTCAGATAACCCTAGCCCATCGGATGCCCAGGCAGGCTGCAGATGTCTATGCTTAGCACCCGTGATTAAGCGACTGGCAGCGCTCTAGGGATTGTCACAGTGCCGGGTCAGGGCTAGTAGCAGGGCTGGACTACTAGGGTGTAAGATCAGCTCTAGGGTGAGCTCTGTAAATCCTCTGCTCTGATGTCTGGGATGTGCCCCCCAGCTGCGCCCCAACTTTGCCTTGAATGATCTTAAACTTTTTTCCATGGATGGTCAATAAGAAAATAAAACGAAAAAATAGCTGGACCCCACCTGCAAGCTGGAAGCTGCGATGCTTTCGGGGTGAAGCTTGCTCCACTGTTTTTAACCCCAGATAGCTAGTCGGGGGGGGGGGGGCGTCTTTGCGCATCCCTTCCTAAGTCAGGCTCTTGCTGGTGCCCTAGCTCCGGGACGAGCCCGAGTGGGCCACATAGGGGCTGGCAACCCGCGCCCCCGAGCGGAGAGAGTTGGCTAACTAGGAGCTGGGCCTGGGGCGCCACGTCCGCTGCGGGGCCACCTGTGAGCCTGCGGCGGAGCAGCACGATGCGCAAGACCCGCCGGGGGACCAGCAGCTAGGCGGACGCAGAGCCGGAGCCCCGCACTTACCCGCACCGGTGAGCAGGGCTCGCACGCCTGGCCGCTCGGGCCGCCTCCTCCGGCCTCCGCCTCTCGCGCCCGGGCCCCGGACTAGTGAGGGCGGTCGCCTTCACCAGCTGGATCTGGGCTTGTGGGGACAGTGAGCAGCGGCGAGTGCCGGCGCGAGCTGGGCTGGCGGGCGGTGTTGGGCCCCTCCCTCTCGGCGGCGCGGGAGTAGCCGCAGCTCGGCGCCCTCCCGCCCTGCGCGCCTCTTGCGCGGGCCACGCCCGCCGTTGCCGCCTGTCAGATTTCTCTGCAGTGGGGACCGGGTCAGGGTTTGCAGGAAGGCAAGGGCACAAAGGAGAAATCGTACAGGTCCCTGCAGCACTCGATTCCCGAAGCCCGAAAGTGCTGTTAAGTTTGGGGTCGCCTGTAGTGGCCACCTCCTCTCCAATCATCTGCAGGAATAAGAATTGATCTCTCTTTACTATGCAAAGGTGGAAAAGATGGTGTTTAGAAAAGTACAGGCCTCGGGGGCACGGCTCTCTGTCAGAGGGAACTGAACTCTCTGTTTTACAATGATGAGAAAGTGAAGGGTCTTTAGTTCGACAGGCAAACCGTTTGTTACCTTTATGACCCAAGACACTGGGGTCACTTTGGTGTCCCTGACAAGACTCATGTTTTGCCTCCAGATTTCCAACTCTGCGTTCCCCCCTGCCTTGTTTGCAAAGACCCTTTAACCAGGGGAAATTGAGTCCAGCTCTCTGGTGAACAAGTCAAGTGTCTGGGCCAATTAATAGGAGGTGGAACAAGCTAGTTGTTGAGGGAAACATTTTTTAACCTGATGGATGAGGGGGACCCAACCTGGGAAACTGTAGAGGTTTTCTGTGCATTAAGGACCCTTTTTGCATGCCGTCTTTCTGTCTCTGCAGCCCGCAGAGGTTCACTCAGACCTTCAGGGTTGTCTTGCCAAGTAAAGGGAAACCTCGGGTTTTATTTTGAAAGTCATGGGCTGAACAACAACAACAACAACAAACCTTTACTTCTTGTTCTGGGAAATTTCAAACATTCACAGATGTGAGAAAAGAACACAGCAAGGCTTTATGGGGCCATCACAGCCTTGCAAAATTATTGACTACCTGGCTGGTTGTGCATTATTCCTGCAGGCACCCTTTCCCAGTGTCCTCCCCATGAAGCAAATCTCAGACAACACTCCATTTTATTCACAAACCCATAGAAGAAGGAAGAAAGCAGTTAACCAGTACTAAGACTGTGTCAAGGAAGACTCCAGAGATGACCCAGATAGGCTTACATTGATCATGATGAGTCAACTTCAACATCAGGAGATTATTGCAGTTGCTTCAGGCCCATTAACAGAAGTTCATAATGTTTCCAAAACAACCCAACAGATTGGTAACTGCTGATGGCAGAGAGAACCATTTCATATTGCAAAAATACTTTAGAAAGAAGAAAACAATCATACATCTATTCTACAAAGTTTTATACAAATGGAACCTGAGTATATCCCATTCAGCTTCGCTTCCCTTGTTTTTGACTCTATTGACTGAACAATCCCGATCGTCCCCAGGCAGCAGACACCAAGAATAGGAAAGTGAGAATAGCCTAAACATGTTAGCTGTGCAGTAGTTTCCTCTGACATTCAAACCTTTCATTTTTGTTGGAAATTTAAAATAGGGTGTGAAAAGGGAGACTGAGCAACTGGATAGTTTAAGACAGGAAGTTTACAGGAAAGTGAACCAACTGCTATTCTAAGGGGAAGTGAAATACTCCATCCTGCAGGGAAGCAGCTAAAGGCCTCAAGACCAGACATAAACAACCTAAGATGGCTTCAGGAAGTCCCTGAAACAGATCAAATTTACTACTCTCCACCTAAGAGTGTATAAGTGTTAAAGACTCCTGAGGGACACTCTCAGACCAACTAAGGGAAGACTCACAGATAAGACAAGGTTCAAGCTTAGCTGTCTAGAAAGAGGCCTAGACCAGACCAACCACCAGGAAGAAGAAGATATTAGCCAAGTAACTTGGAAGAGGCAGAGATCTGCTGAAGTTTCCTGAACAAAAAAGATGAGCCAAGTCTCCCAGAAGAAGCTCAGATCAAACGAATGACAAGCATCCTCCAAACTGTTCGTCTGTCTCCAAGCTGTGGAGTGCAGTTCAAGTACCTAGCTTTTGTGAACTGTCTCCCATGGTGGTGTGGGGTTTTGATGATGCAGCTGTGCCTGAGTTATTTTCAGTCCTGCAGTCAACCCCTCAACCATATTTCTGTAAGAGTCACAAATAAACCTCATTGGTTGACCAAATTGGACTTTAGTGGTTGTGGTGGTTTGAAAGAAAATGGCTCCCAAAGAAATTGGCACCTTTTGGAGGTGTGGTCTTGTTGGAGGAAGTGTGTCACTGTGGGGGAGGCCTTGAGGTCTCACTTGCTCAAACTTCACAGAGTGTGACGCTCAGTCTACTTCCTGTTGTCTGCAAATCAGCATATATAGCTCCTTTTCCAGCACCACATCTGCCTGCACACTGCCATGCTCTCCACTATGTTGATAATGGATTAAACCTCTCAAACCGTAAGCCGCCACCTCAATTAAATGTTTTTGTTGTTATATGAGCTGTCATGGTCATAGTGTCTCTTTACAGCAATAGAAACTTTAACTAAGACAGTTAGTGTCTTTGGCCTGCCATTGATTCCTATCTGGGGTAAAATTGCTGTTTATTAATGTCTTCTCAGAAATAGTATCACATAGCACTTAAACCTCAAAAGACAGAAGCAAGAGGATCTCTGTGTTTGAAGCTAGCTAGAAAACTTACAAATGTAGTTATGGCACACTGCTTCCTACCAGGACCTTTATTGGTGTTGTTCAATTCCCTTCAACTTTAGCCCAGAGGGGTCACCAACTCTCCATTTGGCAGAAAGGGGAATGGGACTCAGATGAAGACCTGTGTCTGCAGGCTGTACTGTCTGGGTTCACACTTGGCTGATTGTGGCAGAAACTCAGCTTCCACAGCTTAACCAAACAAGACTTTATTTTTCTCAAAAAGAAACCTGGAAACATACTGTCTAGCATTTGTCTGGTAGCTCTATGATACCAGCCTTAGAATTCAAAAGTCTATGCTCTCTCATCTTAATGGATAGCTTTTATCTTCAGTGCTACAGAGTTGTTGCCTTGGGGGGGGTAATATGTCTGAATTCCAGACAAGAATAAGGAATAATGAAGAGGGAAAAAAAACGAGACTTCCTTGTTAAACTTTCCCTTTTTATTTATAGAAGGATGCTGTCATAACACATCTCCATGTGAATGGCCACCACTTGGTCATGGTTACACTTAGCTGTAAGGGAGGATGAAATATTTCTTAAGTGGGTTCGTACTCAAGTTTTAAAGAAGTGGGGCTTTGTTTGAAGCAGACAAGGAGGAATGGATGTTGAATGAGCAGCTAACAGCATTTGACAGCTTCAAAGTATCTTAATTTGGCAGCTGCACAAGAACTTGACAGTGAGCTGCCGTGAAAATCGAGAAGGCTGGAAGTGCATTACTGTAGTGATGGAGAGCCTTCGCTGGTCTATGCCACATTCCCTGAAGCCAGAACCAAAGGACAGCTATGTCCTCCCACTTGTTGCTTGGTCATCGAGAAAGGGGTATTCCTGAGAAAACCTGAAGCTTGATCAACTCCTTTGTCAAGAGCCAATAATGAACCTCTTTAGATAATCATTTAAAAATTTTAAATATACACTACACACATGTAAACATTGCTTGACATCATGCTCACCCTTGTATTAACTAGCACTTTGTTTGAATATTGAGTTAGTGGGAGTGGTTAGTAATTACCAGCTGAGAGTAGTTGGCTCTCTTAGTAATTCTATAGCAGCCTTTCAAAAACTAATATAATACTTTCAAAAATCATGGGCCACACTTGAATTAATAAAGCTAAAACAGAATTCTCAGGTGTCACTAAGTCACTCTGACTCTAATTCCACCACCAGAAATTTGTTACTTGGGCTACTTATTTTCACAATTTCAGTATTACTTTCTTTAGTGTAATATCTTTCTTAACTTTTTGAGAACTTTATAAAATGTACTTTGACCATAATTGTCCTCCACCCCTCCCTTTGACTTCTCCCTGTTCCACCTCACCATCCTTTCCCAACTTCATGTCCCATCAGGTCCAGTTTTTTGCTGGTCATGCACATGTGATTATGGGGCATCCACTGGATGGACAACACAGTAGAGGCCACACCCTTTAAGAAAACTGTCTCTTCTTTCCCCAGAAGTCATCAATTATCAATAGCTTCCCAGTACAGGATTAACAAGCCTTACCTACTTCCATGCTAGACTGTAGAGTGGCTTAATCTTATAGAGATCTTGCGCAGGCAACCACAGATGCTGTGCGTTCATGACTTCAGTGGTTACACCGTGTCCCAAACAAGACACTGTTTGCTCTGGGTCTTAGATTCTTTCTGCCTCACCTTCCTGGCTGGCCTCTGAGGCATGGAAAAGGGTGTTGGGTAGATGTTCTATTTGTGGCTGAACACTGTACTGATGCTTATTCTCTGTATTTTGATCAGTTGTGAGTGTCTATGTTAACCACTGCCAAGCACACAACACAAAAAAAGTTCTCTGTCGAGGTCTGAGAGCTGCATTAATCTATGAGTAAAGACAGGCAAACTTAGAAGGCAGTTTGATACTGTGTTTATGTTAGCATAATATTAGTGGTAGAGTTTACCCCTGGGGCCTAAGAGCCCTCTAATCATGGGTTCTTGTCCACACTTATAGTACCAGGCAGGTGTTTCCTCCTGTGGAGGCCTTAAATAGAAAACACTATCCTGAGTGAGGTAAGCCAGACCCAAAAAGAGGAACATGGGATGTACTCACTCATATTTGGTTTCTAGCCATAAATAAAGGAAATTGAGCCTATTAATTTGGGTTCTTAGAGAAGCTAAATAAGAAGGAGAACCCAAAGAAAAACCTATAGGCAACCTCCTGAATATTAACCTTCATCAGGCTATGAAAGGAGACAGAGACAGAGACCCACATTGGAGCACCGGACTGAAATCTCAAGGTCCAAATCAGGAGCACAAGGAGAGAGAGCACGAGCAAGGAACTCAGGACCGCGAGGGGGGTACCCACACACTGAGACAATGGGGATGTTCTATCGGGAA